CTCCAACACTCCCTCTACCCAGCCGACAGAATGGCCTAAAACTTTAAGGTTGAAGGATCCTTAAAGACCATCTACAATCAAGCCTCTCGATTTACTGATGAGAAAAAAGCGGACAGAAGTGACTTTCCCAGAATAACAACTGTCACTGTAGAAGAAACTCAGTTAAACAAGCATCTCTATAATTTTCTGGACACTAACAACTTCAATCCTGTCAACAGGAGACCGGGAGAATCAAGTCCCTTTCTTTATTCTACCCCTTTTTGAAGTGTAGTTTAAAAAGGACATCGCCAAATCACAGATTTGGCATCCACTGGAGGAATTTAGTCCTTGACATTTCCATTTCAGGGATACTCTTACTAGTTTGTTAACTTCAATTTCAAAAGCCAAAAATTCCTCCAAAGTAAACTGTTCAAACGGTTACTTTCAGAAACCAGCATTGGAACTAACCAGTTAATAGCGAGATGACTGAAAACAACTGTTCTCAGTGCCTCTTTCACTGCTCTAACTAAAAAATAAACAAATAGTAAAAAAACAAAACAAAAACAACAAAAAAAGCACTTCTTCATACTTTTAGGATGAGAATCCTAGGAAAATTAACACAATATTTGAAACCATATTACTAGTACAAAAAGCAGGACAGATAGTTTGGTGTACAGGGAATATTCTTTTGTTAAGCATTATTGTGTAACATACGTGTATTCTATTAAGTGAAATTGCTTCCAGATTTTCTCACTGAACACAGTGAATGTGGATCCTAGACCGACAACCTTTGTCTTGTGAAAAACTGTGTTCTTCTATTAAATTCTGGAGACGGGTAAAGGAGACAAAGGGGTAAACTGTATAGCCTTTCCTCATAAACATGTCTATTTCTTCAAGACAAATTAGCCATTTTAATCAATGATTAAATCCTATCTTCCCATTTCTTAATAATTTACTATAATCCCATCCTACTATTTCTTAACAGTTTACATTCATAGTATATCAAGGTTTCTGGCAAATCCAAATTATGACACAGAAACCTCCTGAACTTCCAGACTCACTGAGGAGTGAGGAAGCACGTGACTTTCAAGTGTGAAAAGGTCTAACTTCAGGCCAGACCGACATTTTCTACTGTGTATGTAATTTGAAAGCCCATTTGAAATAACAGCCAAAGAGAATATGTTCTCATATTTGATTTCCTTTCAACATAAATGATGAATAGTGAAAAGCTGGAAAAAAAAATGGTGGAAAACGTTTTGGAAATTCTCTAACTTATACAAGACATAAAAACCCAGAAAGCTACCGTTTCTTAACCGATCTCAAAACACTAAGGGCTTGGGGCACCTGGGTGGCTCAGTCGGTTGAGCGTCCGGCTTCGGCTCGGGTCATGACCTCACAGTCTGTGAGTTCGAGCCCCGCGTCGGGCTCTGTGCTGACAGCTCAGAGCCTGGAGCCTGCTTTGGATTCTGTGTCTCCCTCTCTCTCTGCTCCTCCCCCGCTTGCGATCTGTCTCTGTCTCAAAAATAAAAACGTTAAAAAAAAATTTAAAAACAAAACCAAAAAACACTAAGGGCTTAAAAACTAATCTGTTTGAAATGTTCTATTCGCTTCCTGGGTTCACATAACATAGTCTATCCCGATCACAACCACTGGCAACAGGTTATTCAAAATGCTTTTGCTGTGCTGGTTTTTACTCACGTGGAACACTAAGCGTTTGGTAGTTTTAATCTTTAAAGACTGCTACAGTATGATGCCTAAATTCACCATCCTCAAAATCCTACTTTTTAGGTAGAGAAGACAGTGGCAGAGTGGGAAGGGCAGTGGAAGAGACTCGGGCCTGCCCACACTCCACATTAACCAACTCTAGGACCCAGGCACAGCTCTGAGCCTTTGAGAACTTCAGTTTCCTCATCTGCACTTGGGAAAAGGGGATCTGCTTCCTTCTAACCTCAGCGCAGTCCCACTGCCGGGCCACCCGGCACTAACCTCACAATTCTGGGGAGGCGCTACCGAGTACCCGCTGCATGCCACGGACTTGATGCCTGCTTGCCATTCTACAATGAACTCTTCATTAAAAAAAAAAAAAAAAAAAAAAATCTCATTTTCTACTTTGCTGACTCCATTCCGCCAGTAACAACTCGACCAACTACTTACTACGAAGCCAATGACCCATTCCTCCTCACTTACATCACTTCCTCTTACTCACTTCCCAAGATGGCTCTCCTCCCTTCCACAGCTCCTTCCTTCTCCAGAAACTTCATCTAGTAACTATCCTCACAGGTCACCGAGACAGCCTCTGAAGAATCAGCTTCAAACCCATAGGCGTTTGGACCAACAGCGTCCCAAATCCATGGGTTGGCATCGGTGGGCCTCTCTTTCCCTAAGGATGGGCCCATTCCCTGAAGCACCAAGACTCCTCAGGTATTTCTCTGCCACATCCCCCTTGACTCAGTTTCTCCCCAGATCAGAGGCCAGGATTAAGGCTAAGTTTGTTTCTTGCTCGGGCAGGACATCGAAGTTACCTAAAAAAAAGAACAACGAGACAAGAAGAAAGGGAAAGAAAGGAAAAGGGCACTAAGAAAATGCAGAGACAAGGAGAAGGGCCTGAAGAGACAAGAAGGACCTGAAGAGGGGAAAGAGCGGGGGAAGAGGGCCGAGGGAGAAGGGCAGGTGGGGTAAGAGGAAGAAACCCACGCTCACTGCTCCAGAAGCGGCTGGGACAGCAAGTCAAGGCACAAAGTTCTGCCCCAACTTTGTGAGAAGGGCGGTCCCAAAAGGTAGGTAAAGCAATCTCTCCGTCGGTGGGTGAAAAGCCTCCTTATCTCCATCACTTTCCCCGCCCAGGGATCGCAGCTCCAGCGCAGAGCCCGGAGGGTCCCCGAGGGCAGCGCCCCTCCCTCCACGCTCCAGGCCCGCCCCCGGGGACGCCCCCGCCCGCCCCGGCCTCCACCCCGAACCTCCAGGCCGAATCTCCGGCCCTGAACCCGGCCTCAGGCTCCCGCCCGCCCCGGCCCCGGCCCCGGCCCTCGGGCCCGGACCCCCTCCCGGCCCCAGGCCTCGGACCCCAACCCCCGCCCGGCCTTACGTGTTGTCCTGGTTGAAGTTGGCGAAGAGCAGCTGGCCGGCGCCGGCCTCGCCGCTCTGACTCGCCAGGTTCATGGTGGGCGCGCGGCGGGCGAGCGGGGGGGGTGGCCCCGGCCGAGGGCTCGCGCGCGGGAGGGCGAGTCGGGTGCGCTCAGGGTCGGCGCCTGGCCCCGCTCGCCGCCTCGCTGGCCGCAGCTGGCTGCCCGGGGATCAACCGCCGCCTCATCCCGTGCCCGCTCTTGTTTATGCTCAGGAGCCGGGACGCCCTGCGCGCCGGCGCGGCCCCGCCTCCTCGGCGCACGGCCTCTCAGGGCGCAGGCGTATTGCGGAGGTCCCGCCCCTTCATCTCCGGCCAGGGCTGGGGTTCCGGTCGAACACGCGCACGCGTGGGGACGCGCAGGGGCGCGCCGGGCAGGGTAGCTGGCGTACGGAGGACGGCGCATGCGCAAGGGAAAAGTGAGTCCCTATGGTTTTATTAATATTAAAAGTGTCCGCTGTGTGCCTGTCCTTGCGCTAAGGATTTCTGTGCAGCATCTTATTTGATGCTTCTGGCAGGCCTACATAGAGACTATTGCGTCCCCACTTTACAGATTCGAAAACTGAGGCTCAGAAGTGTTAACCTAGTCGCCAAGTGTTCAATCTGAGAATTGTAACCCCGTTCTTTCCCTGAGGCGCCCGCTTTCTGGATCCGTGGCGGATTCAATCATATTTACGAGACACCTTCCATGTAAACTAAATGGGCCTCCCTCCCCTCAGAGAAGTTAACCCCGGAACACAATTACAAGCCGGAGTACAAGAGAGCACATGATGAGGTCACTCAACCTAGAGTTAAGGGACAGGGAATGTGCAGTCAGAGAAGGCTTCCTGGAGGAGGTAAGACCTGAAGTTTGAATAGTAGGTAACCTACGGAAGCATTCTGTATGGCAAAGGTTCAGAGGTGAGAGTGTGTCCAAGGGAACGCTCTGCTCAGCGTGTCTAAGTTTAGAGTGGGGTGATGGACACAAGATTGGGCTTGTGAAACTGGAAGTGGCCAAATCGAGCGGGGTGTTGTTAAGATACATTAAGCAAGAGCCTGGACATTATCTAAACAACGGGTTGCCATTGAAAACACTTAGGCAGGAGAATGGCACAATTCAATCTGTGCGCAGGGAAGCTAATTTTTAGCCCAGAGTCAAGAATGCGTTGCAAATCCTTGAGGAAACAATGGTCCTTTCCTTTAAAGGTGCTGGCTCTCCTACCTCCCACCGAACTCAAAAACTAGTTTGAGATGGATTGTGGACGTACTCGTGAAAGGTAAAACAGTCAAGTTTCTGGAAGAAAACGTAGGAGAATGCCTTCATGGCTCTGGAGTAAATGAAGTCTCCCAAATAAGTACTTTAAAAAGTACTCACCACAAAATAAAACGTTAATCTTCATCAGAACGGAGGGCAACTGCTCAGGGCGCCTGGGGGGCTCCGTCAGTTAAGTGCCCGACTCTTGGTTTCGGCTCAGGTGGTGATCTCACGTTATTGAGATCAAGCCACCCTGCTTGGGTTTCTGTCTCTCTCTCTCTCTCTCTCTCTCTCTCTGCGCCTCCCCAGCTCACTCGTGCTCTCTTTCTCTCTCTCTCAAAAATAAATAAACTTTATGGGGCACCTGGCTGCTCAGTCGGTTAAGCAGCCAACTTCAGCTCAGGTCATGATCTCGCCGTCCGTGAGTTCCAGCCCCGCGTCTGGCTCTGTGCTGTCAGCTTGGAGCCTGGAGCCTGCTTTGGATTCTGGGTCTCCCTCTCTCTCTGCCCCTGTCCCACTCATGCTCTGTCTCTCTCGCTCTCAAAAATAAAGAAACAAACAAATAAACTTTAAAAACAACTTCTCGTCAAGACAGGTCAAGAAGGCAAGCCTCAGAATGAGTGGGGTACCTAAGCTTTCAATACATACACTTGAAATACATTTTGAAAATAGTGTGTTTTTATTTCCTAATTTTTTTAAGGTGAACATTCTTTATTTCAGTCACAGCCTTTATTTCCAGGTGACTTCTTCACTGGGTCTCAATTCCCTTTTAAGCAACACACTCTTGTTCTGGAAGGCAGTTCGTTTTTCATCATTCTTTTTGTCTAGATAACATCCAAGGACAAATCCCACGGGTACAAGTGTATGTACCCAGTGGTCACAAACAATCTGAAGTACGTTCATCACAGATGCTGCGCCCTTGGTGCCAAAACACGGCTCCACGGCCAAGGGCAACGGCGAGCTCAGCCCTGTTGTACACATTGTTGACAAAGGACTTCTTTCCAGAACGTTAGAAGAATTTCTACAAATCAATGAGGAAAATACCAACTCATTTTTGGGTACTTGAGCATGGTACTTCAGAAAATATCAAAACGGCTAATGAGCACCTGAGAAGGTGATCATCATTAATACTCATCAAGAAAATGCAAATTAAGAGCAAATGAGATACTACAAGCATCCACCTGTTAAAATCAAATACAAATGGAGACCAGACTCGAAAATTCTGAGTTGACAACGCCAGTGTCGTCATACAAGCAAAGCTTAATTTAGCTTATTTTGCAAGACTAGCAAAAGCTAACTTGACCTTGCTTGTGCCTCTGAAAATCACAAGCGAAACCAAAGTAGTTCCCCAAAGTTGATGTGAGGCGACCACCAGCAAATTTCCTTTTAGTTTAGAAGATTCTAATACTGTACCCAATCACTAAAGAGCAAATAGTCATTGCTTCCACGCTCCACACTCTAGAAGCTGCTCTATGATGATATACCTCTGAGCCTCATTCTGTGTTTTGGTGTGAGTGCTCCTCATTTGCAAACTGTCTTTTTGGTGGGTGCACCATAAACTTCTAACTATTACTTCAGCAATTCGCTGATTTTCTTTTTTTAAGTTTATTTATTTTTGAGGGAGAGAGACAGAATGCGAGCAGGGGAGGGGCAGAGAGAGAGGGAGACCCAGGATCCGAGGCAGGCTCCAGGCTCTGAGCTGTCAGCACAGAGCCCGACGTGCTAGAACTCACAAACCCCAAGATCACGACCTGAGCCGAAGTTGGACGCTTAACCCACCCTGAGCCACCCAGGCGCCCCGATATTCTTTTTTTGTTCTGAACTTTTGACATAACGTGTTGGCTAAAATTAAAATGGTTGACAACGCAAAGTGTAGACAATAATTGCAGAGCAACTGGAACTCTCATAACACTGTGAGGAAAAGTCTTAAATGGCTAGACTCAGCGCCCCTGGCTGGCTCAGGCGGCAGAGCAGTGACTCTTGATCTTGGGGTTGTAAGTTCGAGCCCCACGTTGACTGTAGAGATCACTTCAATATAAAATCTTTTTTAAAAAATGAATTGTTAGAATCACCTTGGAAAACCGTTTGACAGTATTTACTAAAGTTAAACATACATATTCCCTGTGACTCAGACAGTTCACTTCTAGGTGTATGTACTCAGTGGTAACTAATGCATATTTTCCCCAAAAGACAGGTATAGGAACGCTCACAGTTGCTTTACTCGTAATAATCGCAAACTAGAGATAACCCAAACATTCATCTACAGCAGAATGAGTAAGTAAATGGGGGTACATTCATACAGAAGAATACTACAGACCAATTAAAAGGCCATACGCATATGAGTGAATCTCACAGATACAATACTGAGTTTAAAAAGCCAGATGCAAAGGAATATATGAGGCCCTGTGTGGCTCAGTCAGTTAAGCGTCCGACTCTTGATTCCGGCTTAGGTTACGATCTCATGGTTCATAGGATTGAGCCCACATCAGCCTTCATGCTGACAGTATGGAGCCTGCTTGGGATTTTCTCTCTCTCTCTCTCTCTCTCTCTCTCTCTCTCTCTCTCCCCCTCCCCTGCTTGTGCTTTGTCTCTGAGAATAAATAGACTTAAAGGGGGCACCTGGGTGGCTCAATCATTTAAGCATTCAACTTCGGTTCAGGTCACGATCTCACGGTTTGTCAGTTCGAGCCCCACGTCAAAGTCAGTGCTCACAGCCCAGAGCCTGGAGCCTGCTTTGGATTCTGTGTCTCCCTCTTCTCTTTGCCCCTCCCCTGCTCGCATTCTGTCTTTCTCTCTCTCTCAAAAATAAACATTAAAAAAAAAAAGGATATATACTGTATGAATCTATTTATATGAAGTCAAAAATAGGCAGAGTAGTGGTTACCTCTGGCGGGGGATTGGTTCGGAGGGGACATGAGGGGAACCAGCTGGAGTGCTAGAGCTGCCCTCTGTCTTGATTTCGGTGGTTGGCTACATGGGCATGGACATATGTAAATGTATAAATATACGTATGTGAATGCCCATGTGGCCGATCGCCAATCACCAGAAGTCAAGATGTAACACAGGAGCAACGTCTTTAGTGGTGTATCTATCAGTTGGCACAGTTTCCTACGGACCATTAGTTTTGAACAAAGCCACATAAAGAGGTGCCTGAAGAAATCTCCTGGGTTCTCAACACAGTTCTTGGCTTCATTTGGAAAAGCCACCTGGTTTCCCCTCGTTCGTCGGAATCTATCACTTCATCCAGGATAGTAACTTCTATCGGTTCAGCAAGTGAGGATTTCCAAATGGCCAGAGGGTCGACTCAGTTTCCAATCTACCTGAACCATGAGTCTGTTCCCTGGAGTAGTAGGGGTCCTTTGGGTACTAGAACCTCAAAATCCAGGGAGCCCAGGGGTGTGTGGATGGAAACAAAACATTTTCAGTGGATTATTCTTTGTCACATGCAAGAAGACCCTACCACCTCCACTCCCGGTTTGCAGGCATGTATTGCCTACTGTGGAATGACAACCCAACCCCACAGGGTGTGGTCTCTTAGCTGGTGCCACAACTAAACCTTCAGTAAGCCATTCTGCCATCTCTTTAGGCAATAGGGCACATGATAAGGACGGTGAATTCCAAGGGCATGAGCACACTGTCAAAGCTTCCTCACCACCGTGTGAATTTCCGGTCAGAAGAGATGGGGTATGAACTGGATAACCCTCTTAAAAATGGTCACCTCCCTACTTTCTTCTATTCCTCATCCCTCTCCTTGCTCTCTGTCTCTAATAGTACTTATCACTTTCCGATGGACCACAAAACGCCCCCTCCTGACCAGAACATAATCCTCCACTGAGGGAGGATTTTTGTCTGTATCGTTCACTGTGCGATCCCATTCCCTAGAATGCTAGAACTTAGTCCTTGAACAACTCAGCTCTGGGCTTCCATTCCTGCGGGCCAGAATGGGCTGGCGCTCAGGGCTGCTCCCCACCTGCCCAGATTTTGATTCCCTGCTCTATGATCTGGGAGATATGTTGGGAACCACGGACAAGCGTTGCTGGGGAGCAGACTGGGATTGCGCCAAAGAGCTTGACCTGCGTGTGACTCAGAAATGCACCCTCATGTCCCAGCTCCCCTGGGGAGGACATGAGCTGACATTGCTGATGGCAGACAGAGCAGGAAGGATGCTCTCCTGAGCTTCTGTCATCACTGCTTCCCTCCCTCCTGTCAACCTTAGAACAGAACCATCATCTGCCGGTGCTCAAAAAACTCCCCAAGTATTCTTCTTATGTGCAACGTTCAGAGATGAGCAATCCTCCCACAGGCGAGTTCCTAAATAAACCCGTGGGTTAAACAGCTGGCACGGAGGAGGGAACTAAGGGCTGAGTGAAAGGGTGCTGGAGCGCACCTTGCATGAGGTGAGGCAGTGGGAGAGAGGTTGGGATACGCACCACACCGAAATCGCACAGGCATACCGAGATTCGGATCCTGGCTCCGATTCTCACGAGCTGCGCCTCATCAGGTGAGCCACGTAACCTCTCCGAGCATGTTTCCTCAACAATAACAAGCGCTAGAATAATTCACCTCTGGAGAATGCTGTGGGGATTGAATGGGTGGGAAGGAAGCCCTTCCAGAATTGTGGAGCAAGAATCTCTGAAAACCATTCCTCCATGAAGGCAAAGAGAACGCTGGCAAAAATGATCGAAATCAACCTTTTCGGAACTCTGGAAATTAACAACAAAAGGCTCGCAACCATCTAAGAAGCTTTTGTTCAAACAAGACAGCCGCGTCTCAGCGACAGCAGTGAGATTTGTGGCCTTTTAATTTTCCCTAATCTCATCTCTCTATCCAAGATCCATGGTAGCCTTGAAAATCAGCAGCCTTACAACTGTGATAGATGTAAAAACAAACAGCCTAGTGGTCACTGGAGGTGGGCAGAAAGGGCTTGGAGCTCCCCCAGAAGCCCCATCCCCAGAGAATGGTCACTATTTGACCTGCCTGATACTTTGCTGAAAAACTCCCTTTCAGAGCTTGTCTTTATTTGATCCAAGGGTTTGCCAGCTCATCCCCAAGACATTTGGCCAAAACAATCATTGGCAATTGTATTGTATTGTATTGCAACTGCCTTGAGGTTACCAGTTAGGGCGAATAAGGGACTAAGCAAAACCAAAACTAAAACACACAAAAAACAAATCCTTGAAAGGAATGTCTGGGGGATGAGATGTCCATAAGAAGCTTTGAAATGCTCCTGGCATATTCCTGAGAGTCCACAAAAAACTGTGAGACACACAAAGAAACGGGAAAGTATGGCCCCCAAACAGGGGGAAAAGTTATTGCCTTTGAAGGGACCCAGAGGGTAGGTTTAGTGGAAAAGATTTGAAAGCATCTATTACAAATAAATTCAAAAAACCAAAAGAAACCATACTTGAAGAATTGAGATGGGTATGATGACCGTGTCTCACCAAAGAGAATCTCAATGAAGAGACAGAAATCATAGAAATCTGTTCAGAAAATACTAGAGGCCATCAGGCTGAAATGAAGCCATGGAGGACAGTAACTCAAAACCACATGAAGAAATAAAGAGCACTTGTAAAGCTACAACGTAGGTAAATACAGAGATAGCCTGAGTGTATTGCTCTGGTAACTCTTCTTCTGTTTGACTCGAAAGACAATGGCATAAAAATAATTAGAATGTTGTATTGATGGACTTCAACTGTATAAAGCTGTATGAAGATGATGATTCAGTACAAAGGTCTTCATTTTCTTTTAGCACTGCTCAACAGTTTTCCATATATAGGCCTTGTAGTTCGTTGGTTAAACTCATTCCTTAGTATTTTATTCTTTTTTTTTTTTTTTTTTTTATTTATTTTTGGGACAGAGAGAGACAGAGCATGAACGGGGGAGGAGCAGAGAGAGAGGGAGACACAGAATCGGAAACAGGCTCCAGGCTCTGAGCCATCAGCCCAGAGCCTGACGCGGGGC